GAATACAGTAAACTGATTTTCAATAAGATTAGCAAGAACCAAGGGGGAAATAGTTCTTTCAAAAAACAGTGCCGGAACAACTGGAAATCCACTTTTGAAATGAATGGTAGTGGAAGCTCAACTCACAATATATCTAAAAATTAATTCAAAAAATGGATCAAAGACCTAAATCTAAGAGCTAAAACTGTACGACTCTAAGAAGAAAACATAGGGGAAAAGATACCAATGTAGTGAAAAGAAGGGGCACATGTACCCCAATGTTCATAGCAGCAATGTCCACAATAGCCCAGCTGTGGAAGGAGCCGAGATAACCTTCAACAGACGAATGGATAAAGACGATGTGGTTCATATACAATGGAATATTATTCAGCCATCAGCAAGGATGAATACCCACTATCTGCACTGACATGGATGGAACTAGAGGGGATTATGCTAAGTGAAGTAAGTCAAACAGAGAAAGACAATTACCATATGGTTTCACTTATATGTGGAACACAAGCAATAGCTTGGAGGACTACAGGGGAAGAGAGGGAAATATGAAGGGGGAGAAATCAGAGAGGGAGATGAACCATGAGAGACTGTGGACCCGGGAAATGAACCGAGGGTCTCAGAAGGGAGGGAGGTGGGGCGAGGGGGTAACGGGGTCATAGGTATTAAGGGGGCAAGTGTTGTGATGTGCACTGGGTGTTATATGTAACTAATGAATCACTGAACACTACATCAAAAATTAATGATATACTATACAGTGGCTAACTGAACATAATAATAATAAAAAAGAAAACATGGGGGAAACCTTCATAACTTTGGATTTGACAGTAGTTTCTTAGATATGACATCAAATGTATAAACAATAACAAAAAATGGACAAATTGAAATTTACCAAATTTTAAAACATCTGTGCTTCAAATGACACTATCAAGAAAGTGAAAAGAAAACATACAGAATGGAAAAAAACATTTGCAAATCATATATCTAATAAAGATATAAAAAATAATATATCTAAAATATATAAAGAACAATTACAACTCTAATAAAGACAAATAGCCCAATTTAAAAGTGGACAAATAACTGGAATACACTTTCTCTAAAGGAGATATACAAATAGCCAATAACTCTGAAAAGATGCTCAATATCACTAATCATTAGGGAAATGCATATCAAAACTAAAATGGGACAGCATCTCATACACATTAGATGGCTACTATAAATAAATAAAAAACAACAATGTTGGCAAGGACATGGAGAAATTTGAGCCCTTGTGCACTGTCAGTGGGAATTTAAAATAGTAAAGCTGCTGTAGAGAAAAGCATGGCAGTTCCTCAAAAAAATTAAAAATAGAATTACCATATGATCCAGCAATTCCACTTCTGATTATATATCCAACAGAATTGAAAGCAGAGTCATTGAAAGCAAAGTCTTGAAGAAATGGCTATACACCCGTATTCATAGCAGCATTACTCACGTAAGCCAAAACATGGAAGCAACCCAAGTGTCCATTGACAGATGAATGGATAAGCAAAATGTGGTATATGCATACAATAGAATATCATTCAGCCTTAAAAGGAAGGAAATTCTGAGACAAGCTACAAAATGGATGACCCTTGAGGACATATGCAAAGTGAAAAAAGCCACAGGCAAAAAGGCAAATATTTTATGATTTTACTTATATGAGGTTCTTAGATTTTTCAAAATTATACAGACAGAAAGTAAAATTGTGGTTACCAGGGGCTGGGGGCAAATGGAAGGTATTATTGTTTAATGAGGGTATACAGTTTCCATTTCACAAGAAGTAAAGAGTTATGGAGATGCATGGTAGTGATGGTTGCACGACATTATGAATATATTTAATATCACTGATTGTACATTTAAAAATGGCTGATATGGTCACTTTTATGTCATATCTATGTTACCACAATGAAAATATTTTTTTAAGATTTTATTTATTTATTTGAGAGAGAAAGAGAATGAGAGATAGAAAGCACGAGAGGGAAGAGGGTCAGAGGGAGAAGCAGACTCCCTGCTGAGCAGGAAGCCCGATGTGGGACTCGATCCCGGGACTCCAGGATCATGACCTAAGCCGAAGGCAGTCGCTTAACCAACTGAGCCACCCAGGCGCCCAGAAAATATTTTTTTAAAAGGAGTTTAGCTACAAAATCCTCTCTGATAAGTATGGATAAAGGAAAAAATGTGAGTGATAAGATGGATAAATAACCAAAGATAAAAATAGAACTGAGTAGTGTCAAGAAGACTTAAACACAAAAGAGCTAAGAAATATATATATATATATATATATATATATATATAATAACTATTATATATATAAGTTTAGGGCAAATGACATTTCATTTCATTCACTAGTAAAGCATACAGAAGGCAGAATTATTTAATACCTGTTTTGTATTACCTCTATCAAGGAGAATGACTATCATTTTGAAAGCATGAAACAAATATTGATAGGAAAGAAATGAATCACGAAATAAGGAAGCAGATTATGAGAGAGGGTCTAACTACCTTATCTGAATTCAATTTTCCTGTACTCTGGAAATTATATGCTCAGATTCCCAACTCAACTCCCCATCAAAAAAAAAAAAAGGAAAAAATTACAGATGATATTGCTAACCTATTGCCACTGGTCTCTAAGGAAGTGGGAAAGATAATAGTCATAACCCTGTGGTTCCCAAACTGTGTAGAAGGACATCATGAAACAGTCTAATGTTCAAGGAAAACACATGCTTGACATCTGTTGGACACAGAGGAAAATACCAGCCTGAGGTAGTTCACAGTTTCAACAATAGATAGTACTACATTCCTTTCAATAGCATAGTATCTTTGGGAAGCTGGTTGTTCCGGCTGTTGCTAGGATAAAAAGCAAGTACCATGTAAAAAATCAAGGTGGAACAGGAAGGAAAAGCAGCCTCCTTCATACTCATACCACAGTCAGCATTTCCTGGGCCCTTTGTTCACTCCTGTCTACTGTGAGTGTACCCATCACTTCTGCTGACTAGGTTTCAAGCTCTTTTTTTTTTTTTTTTTAGAAATTGTTTTATAAATAGACCTCTTATACAAAAAAGAAACCTATACAGAGGTTTCAAGCTCTTTTAAAGGCAGGAATCTCGTCATATTTTTTTTTAATTGAATGAACTCCCTGAGTTTCTGTAGATACTGAGTTTCTAACTTTGCCCAGTGTTTTGTAAATTTTGTGAAACACACACCCAAAACAACAGCAGCAACTACTAGAAGTGGTTGAACAAATGTATTCAACAGTAAGGATCACAATTTTAAAAAAAACATTTAAATATATACATAGATATATGTATGTGTGTATTTGTGTGTGTGTGTGTGTGTGTGTGTCAAGTCAAGGCACTTCCATATATATATATACATATATATATGGAAGAAGAGGAATATAAACCTTTTTTTAACTATTAAAAATTGGAAGAATTTGGAAAGACAAGAAGATTCAGCCCAGAGAAGGAAAGACAAAATAGAAAAGCAAATGTCTACCACTACCAAGAAATGTAGGCCAGGTGAACCAAACTGTCCAGTTTTGCCTGAGGTATAGTTCCTAGACCGTGTCTTAGATGTAAGAGTAGGTAGAAAAAAGGGGAGATGTCAATATTTTCACACAAAATTAGTGGCAGAACCAATCAAAAATTGCTAAGATTCAGTATGTTATATGTAATGTTCTCACAAAATGATGATCTACAACTGACATCCAAAGCAATATGTTGGAATTCCTGTTGCATAGAAATCAGTCAATTCTATAGTTAATCAATGAATAGCAAATATTAATTAAATTCTCAGTGAAATCCAGATTTATGTTTAGACTGTATTTACACAGAAAGGCAATTACGAAAGTCCTTTCCCAAAAGAAGCATAAATGCCTACCATTTTACTTATACTAACATCCAGAGAGACCAAATAAAACACAGGATACTGAATATAAACTACACAGGTACAAAATCTGAATATGTCTTGTTAATCATTAGCTACACCCTGCCTTCCACTACCTCAAAATCTAGTATGGTTGCTGTGGAGCCAATATTTTCTGACTTATTTCTCTCTCCCTTAAATGTAGATAACACAGTTCCAAGCATGCTTGTTTATGATGATTTGTCCTGACTTAGGGCATTCCCTTGCACTGTGACTCATGATAGTCCCAGGACACCCCAAGGAGAACATGCATTGTACAATATGTTGCAGAGGGCACCTTACCACATGTTCTCAGCAGGCATTTCTTAGAAATTCTGGAAAAGGTAAGGATATATGATCTTAGAGTAAATATATATCAATCATCAATATGCTATAAAACTGTAAGACTGCAGTTGACCTTGAGAAGTCAAGTCAAGGCACTGGAGAATGGTGTTGAAAAGTCAAAAGACACTAAGACGTAATCTTTGGCTTCCAGGAGTTAAAAATAGAAATGTGAGAGATACTTAAATAACTAATACAACTGGCAAAAGAAATATCAAATATAGGAATTATATGCTATGATAAACAGTGATAATAGCTATAATATCAATAACCAACTAATAATAGCATGGTACCCATAAAATTGGGGGGATGGAAGGACATAACTCATAAAAAATAAGAATAAATCTCACATGTGTTATAGAAAATTGGCTGGGAATGTCCTTGCTTGGTGGGGTGACCAGTCATTTTGTTTCAACCAGTAGTGTTGATTTTTGCACTGAAAGTCCTCTGTCACTGGAAAGTCCAATGTCTGGGGGAAAACCAGGACACTGGTCGCCACACTAGTGATTCCATTCTAACAACATGTTTTAAATTTCCCACTACTAACATAATCACCATTTCAATAATCTAATCAAGGAAAAAGAACACAAGTTTCATTTAGTGTAATTTTTTTTTCCATTTCCCACCTAAATTCTCCACCTTGTGCCTAAGCCTTTCTGATGGGTTCTCAATGGAGAAAGAAAATAACAAGACACTCTTCCCTGCGTGATGTTTCATCCACCAGCACAGAGCCAGAGTTCACTTACTTTTGCTGCAGCCCAGTGGATTGTTCACATCCAAATGGCTTGCACTGGGAACACAAGTATCACACTTGGATCCAGTGACAAATCGTTTACAGAAACACTGGCCTGTGACCAAGTGACAGGTTTCATTCAAGGCTCCTGAGAGATGACAATTGCAAGGCTGACATCTGAAAACAAGACAAACAAACCATCAAAGAGAATAATGTTTTGATTAATAATTCATAGTATAAGTTACATCTATCAATAACATTGTGAAATAAGATGGCCTGTTTTAGCCAATATACTGAAAAGAACACTTGAGCTAAACAAATAAACACAACATCAAACAAGACAGAAAAAGAATCTTTAACAAAATGTTGCTCACAATAAAATCTCAATGAAGCCTTCCCTTTGTAAACTAATTAATGGCAAAAAAAGTGTTATATTGTTTTTTTCATGCCACGATACATCTTATGGATTATTTTGAACGCCAGTTGTTCAATTAAGAATACTGTAAATTTTGCTTTCTCACAAAAGCAGTTTTTCTGACAGCTAAAAATTTAAATTGGGTACCCATAAATCATCTTTGCAAGTATCTATCAGGTTATGAAGTAGAACACTGGGTGTGATAACCATGGATCTCCTTAAAAATCTTGAAACTCTATAGTTTTATAAAGACTAAATTTCACTAAGAAGAGAGTTTGAGGAAGACATGTTCCGGTACTGCTGATGCCTTAATATAGGATATATTTCATTTTCTGTTTATGAACTAAACTCATTTATCCGGAATGGTTGGAGAATAGAGCATTATTCTGATTTATGAAAGGATGTTAATGATATAAATATAATGAGATAACTTCATTCCAACTTAAATTTCTTGGACCTAAAGTTGCTTGTAAAAATCACTGGCCTGGCATTTTGCCATGATAGAAACCAAAACCTGATTCCTCTGGGTGAGTAATTCAAATTCTTAGTGTATGCCAATGGCATTGATCAGGATAAGCTATTTTGGCACCATGAAGTATTAGAGAGGCAAAACAGCACATGGAAAAAGACAACTCACTTGTAAACAGGAATTTTCCATGTGGTACATTTAAAATATTAGATGGATTCACCTCTATTTTCTAATAAAGATGCTGGATGGATAGTTTTTTTATCCCTCTTCAACTTCTATAGTGTGATCTCTCGGGTAATCATTCAACACCCTTAAGAAGGCTGATAAAAGCTAAGGACTGCTAAATAAGCTGCAAATTTGTTTTGTAGACTAATATCACCTTGGGAATAAATAAAGTACAGTTTCTCTTGAAAACCACTATACTGTAGTTTGCCCATTTTATATCATGATAAAAGGATATTTTCCCCCTATAAACAACTATATTAAGTCCTTTATGTATAGACATGTATCAGAACTCCATTTCAAATAGATGTTTTATTTAGGCTACTTAAGTATCACAGTTGAAGAAAATTATGCACTGAAATTAGAATGGAATTATAGAAGCAACAAAATATTTGATTTGCTCTTAATTTCATTATATGCCATTACTTAGAGTATATTGTTTGTAAGCATTTAATGTAATATTGGTAAGCATAAACAATAAGAGGCAAGCTTCTCCCAATGTATGTGTATATATATATATATATATATATATATATATATATATATATATAAAACACCACACCATTCATGAATAAGTGTCTCTTGAGTATTTCAGTTTTTATTACCATTCACTCATGAGACAATCACACTTATTTCACATACAGTACATTTAGAGTAATAGTTTCCAGAGTATAACATAATTCCCTTCCTTGATGTAGTTCTATTTTCTTCCAGCTAGCTGCTACACACTTAACTCCAAGGCAGCTCTGTCAATATCCATGGGATATTAAGTTCTGAATCCAAATGGAATAAATAAATCACTTCTTAGGAAAGCATGCAATGTTTTGAGTAATTAAATGTGACTATTCCTGATTTTATAGTCTCTTATCCCAGCTGTTGTTATACCTAACTTATCTGACTTGTTATAATTGCTTGACTTCAGTGAGAGAATTTTACCTGAATGAAGTTCATAGGAGACTTTTCTGAATATTATAGTTTGTTTCTAATGCAAAGGACACTAGGGATAATTTTGTAATTAAGGTTTAAGTAAAATGATTCCTATAAATTTCTCAGCCACCCAAATATAATTTTAAACATTTCCAAGACTCTTTAGCAAATAAGCTACAAGTTTCATGTCATTTTATAAGTTATCCCTTCTCAAGAGCACCTCCTAAATGAAATATATTTCACGTTTATTAAAACAAAATTATACATAATAAAGGAGAAGACATTTTAAACTTAGAAAGAGAAACACCAAACTAAGATGAATTGTGATATTGATTTTGTCAGGATAAATGGTTTTTGTAATATTAATATAAAGAAACCTTTATTACACTGACTCTCCTGGTACAGTCAGAGCTTCTCCCGCAATCTGTTTAAAATCTTCATTTTTCATCCTTATGGGAAAACCTCACTTGCTAAACGGATTTCATAAAGAGTAATCTGTCAAGATTTATATAGATAAACAACTTGTGATGTTTATTGACCAGTTCATTATGGTAAACAAAACAGGAGTAAAGCATCCCTAATCTCTGCCAGCACTCTGTTATTCTAGTTCTGTTTGGGCCCTTCAGTAACTCAGTGTTTACTGAGTACAACGGGAAAGAAGTTAATTGGCTTCTGTCTCTTTAATCACAAATCTCATATATTTTCCTTTCCATGGAACTTATCCAGTTGTGCAAATACTAAGAGAAAGAGCTATCCTGCTTATTATTACTGCAAAACATCATTATTAATGAAGGAGTGTGTTTCAATGATGCATTTCATTGTCAGAAGCTTTATCATCTGAGGGAGAGCTACTGCAGGAGGTCTAGGGATGTATTCCAGGATATAGATCACTTTATTGACATTTCTCTTTCAACACCTCTCTTCTATCGGGGGCCTCAATTCATGGGTACCATCAAATTTTTTAAACATATCGACTGACATAAATAATATTCATTGAGGTTGAATTATGTTCCAGGACCAGAAGAGACTCTGAGAACATGAAAAGGAATAAGATAGAGTTGTCCCTGTCTTCAAGGAGCTCGTAGTCTAGTGAAAAATATAAAATACAGCATTAATAAAGATGTATGCAGACTTTCTGTGGGCACAGAAAAGAAAACTACCTGGTGGCAGGGAATGGGACAGCTGAAAGAGTATTAAGAAAGAATCTTGGGGGGCACCTACGTGGCTCAGTCAATTGAGCATCCGATTCTTGAGTTTGGCTCAGGTCATGATCTCAGGGTCCTGGATTGAGCCCTTTGTCAGGCTCTGCACTCAGTGTAAGTCTGCTTGCCCTTCTTTCTCCCCTGACTTGTGCTCGCCCCCTCTCTCTCTCAAATAAATAAATAAAATCTTAAAAAAAATAGAAGGAATCTTGGGGGCACCTGGGTGGCTCATTCGGTTAGGTATCCAATTCTTGATTTTGGCTCAGGTCATGGTCTCACGGTCTTGGGATTGAGCCCCATATTGGGCTCTGTGCTCAGTGGGGAGTCTGTTTGAGGATTCTCAAGTTATTAAAAGGAATACTAAAGAGGAATATGCCCAGCAAGTCAGAGAGGGAGAAGAGAGAGAGATAAGAAACATCAGGATGGGGCGCCTAGGTGGCTCAGTTGGTTAAGCGACTGCCTTCAGCTCAGGTCATGATCCTGGAGTCCCGGGATCAAGTCCCGCATTGGGCTCCCTGCTCAGCAGTGAGTCTGCTTCTCCCTCGGACCCTCCCCCCTCTCATGCTCTCTCTCTCTGTATCATTCTCTCTCCCAATTAAATAAATAAAATCTTTAAAAAAAAAAAAGAAAAGAAACATCAGGAGAGGGTATGAGATTATAAGCAACTCAAAATTTTTGGATATAAATTCAGAATAGGGAGGGGTAACAGACAAGGTTAAATGGGAAAGGTAAGCAGAGGCAAGATATTGCTAGATTAGGTACAATGGTGATAATGGTAAGGAACAATGGAAAGGAGAGGGATAGTTTTACTTCTGTTGAGTAAGTAAAATCAGTAGGATGAGGTAGACAAATTGAAAAGAGAAGCAAAGAAGGGCATGGAGTTATTTCCAGTTTTCTAATTTGCTGATAGGTAGATGATGGGGACACCATTCAACAGAAAGAATGAAAGAGGAAGAAATCTCAAATTGCTGAGGGAATTTAGACAAGGATTATTAATGATTATTAAGGAGTAAAACAGAAAGAGGCTTTAAAGTGAACTGGAGAAATTGGACCAAGAGTTTTCTCCCATCCGTCCCCAGCACAAAGCCTAGCACACAGTAAAGGTTCAATAAATATTGTTGAATGGATGAATGAATGAATAAAGCACTAGGAAAGCTTTAGACTCAGAATAGAACATCACAGATAAATCAAATGTGACATGTAGCTCTGAGGACAATTCAGCTCTTTTGAGCCCTTTTTGATCAGCTGAGCTCTTCCCCTAGCTAACCTGTCCCCCCAGGGAAGGGACAGCTTTCTTCAACATTGGCCTCTGCTGTGACACCCCAAGGCCAGAAGAGTTCTCAGTTCAGTCCTCTTATTGAGGATCTTGTAAGTGCTAGATTGCTCTAGAGATGATTTTGGTTTTCCCTGGTTAAGATTATATTTCCTCTCTGCAATAGAAGTGTGTCTCACTGGGGTTCTTAGGTTTCCTTTCATCACAGCCTATGAATAGCACTGGATTCTCTTGGAACCGGAATCAGAATTATAGGAGAGGGATTTGGGGCTTAGAGATCCTCCTTATGTGAACTGAAAGCCATACACATGGCTTATTGGAGAAGAAGTGAGAATGGTATCATCTCATCTAGAAGGAAGGAGTCAATGGTACCCAGTCCACCCTCTGTACTGAAGCCTTCCCAGGCACAAATAAAGGGACTCATCAGGACTAAATCTGGGCAGTCTCTTGCATCCAGGCAACTATAACATCTGAGTCCAGGGAGGTGGTATTCCTGTCATTTAGAGAAGAGGTTGCTTAGCAAGATTCTGCACCCACAATCCCTACCACTTTCCCTTTTTTTGACACTCCGCCTAATCCCACATATTGGTCACCAAAACCAAATATTTAAAAGAAATAAAATCTCAGCAGATTCACAATATTAACAATATCACATATGTTTACATCTAG